TCAAAGCATGAACATTATTTTAATGACCACAGCAATAAAGTCTTTGCTAATGTGTCAAATCTTCATCCAATAAAAATCATGTTTCTTTGGAAATATCACAAGTGACACTGACTGTGCTATAAAGTGAATGAATATAGATGAGGACAAACAGCTATGATCAATAAGGACCTAGATTTATTTACATAGCACCAGTCACACACGAGAAAAACGTTTTACAGTGGCATTCAAATATTACATTAATAAAAACCATAATAGCATTATTTCAAATTCAAACCTCATTACACAAATGTATAAATCTTATTAAATGTCGTAAATATGGACTTAAGGCCGCATTCATTCATATTCACGTTTATTCTCTGCGTTAAAAAACGAGTAAACAAGCATCGGAGGGTGTGACGTCACAACGCTGCGACGGTGAGTCGGCTCCAAACATGGCTTCCAGATTGGAGATAAATTTCATCCGGTTGTTGTCCCGCTGTGAATCCATCGCCTCTGAGAAGCGAGGGGAGGCAGAATGGAGGCTGGAGAAGGTAAGAGGACACGAAGATGGAGGACACGAAGTCAAACCTTCAGTAGCTTCATGCTAACACCTCTGACGCTGTTTGTGAGAAGCTGCTGCTGCTGCTCGTCAGCCACGTCGTCACGGAGCGAGGAGACAGAAGAGCAGCGACCCTCAGTTTCAGCTTTACTGTCAAACAGGGACGGAGATATTTACCTGTGAAGTGTAGCTGCTGTGTTGACTCAGGTCCTTCAGTTGTTATTCTGTCATAGTGTCCAGCTGCTCGTCACAGACGGAGACACCACGGTTCAGGTACAGACGTGTCGGTACTGTTTATAAAATCACGTTAAACTGTTCCGGTGACGATGGTTCAAACATCAGACCACAGGTTGGATTGTGCTGACTCATCCTGGCGTCTTCGTTTAAATTATATTTATGAGGTAAATAAATTATTATAATAATACAACTCGTCATTGCAACATCATCACGAACTGCAGTCTGCAGAGCGAGCACCACGTCAACATACCACAGTTTACATTATTATCTGAATTATAATTTGAGTTTGACTCTCCTTCATTAACATGTGATCCTCCTGTGAAGCACTTTGCACCATTTCACAGATCAGAGTTCATCACAGCAGCCATGTTTGTGTGTGAAACACTCAAGTACGAGGTTCAGATTGTTTAGAGGTGGTTTAGAAACAGGATTAACCTTCACATTAGTCTCTTGACAAATGCACTTAAAGCTGAAAGTATTTTTAAAGTATCATCAACTGTTCAAAATAACTTCAACTGTGAACTGTGTTTTTGCTCCTCTGTAGTATGTTGGTGCTCTGGAGGAGATGTTGGTGGCTCTGAGGAAAAGCCAGAGGTAACGACATCATCTCATATGACCTAATGTTTTTTTTCATGCTCACTTGTTGCACATAAAACTCAAATGTTTACTTTCACCTTCAGTGTCAAAGCAACTAAAGTTGTTCAAGACTTGCAAACCACAAATCTTCTCATGCTGTTTTTTCTTTTTTACGTGACTACATAGTGATAGTTAAAGAACTAAGAGAATACAATAACACAATATTTCTCCGTGCAGCAAACCCACAGCGGAAGTCCTGACTGATTACTCAAGAAAAGTCGACTTTCTGAAAGGACTCCTGGAGGCAGAGAAACTGGTCAGTGGCCATATTTAAAAAGCCATGATTTCCCTTTTCAAAATGATGATGTGACTTTAAATGTTTGTAGGACCTTTAATCAATTGTTCATAGTCACTTGTATAATGTTAAATCTAGAATGATTTCTGATTCTTGCTCAGATTTCTTTTATTGGTCTGTTGAATTTTGTTTCCTTCTTTAGGAGTTTTCTGATGTGTGTCTTTCCTGTTCTCCTTCACAGTCTTCACCAACAGAAAAAGCTTTAGCCAATCAGTTCCTAGCTCCCGGGCGAACGCCAACGATAGCCAATGAGAGGATGCCTGCCACTAAGACTGTCCACATTCAGACGAAGGCTCGGTGTACGGGAGAGATGAGGGACGAGCTGCTCGGAAAGGTAGGATGAGTGAATGAGTTTTCTTTATCCTGTGAAGATGTTTGTGAGAACGATTCAAAAATGATTTTCAATGTTGGATTTCCTCATAAATGTTTATGTCTTTGGTGTCATTTCAGGTTCCATCAGGCAAAGGTAAGAATGATTCTGTTTGTTTCAGTATCTTACTGTTTTTTTTAACAAATTAAACGTGGAGGTAAATCTATGTACCTCTCTCCTCTCCGTAGGAACATCAGAGACAGACTTACGAAACAGAAGGTAAAGCTTTGAACATCATTTCTTGTACTTGTTGATACAGTGCATTAGTCTAACATTTAGGTTCGTTTGCAGCTCTGTTTAATTTATTATCATGTCACTATTCACTGTTAAATACTTTCACAAATCAAAGCGTTAATAAGACCGCCCTGACCGACCTGTGCAGGGGTGTTCCTCTGGATGAGCGTCAGTCGGCTGCAGAGCTGGACGCCGTCCTGCAGCATCACCACAACCTGCAGGAGAAACTGGCCGAGGACATGCTCAACCTGGCCCGAAATCTGAAGAACAACACGATGGCTGCACAGAACATCATCAAACAGGACAACCAGGTAACTGGAGAAATACAGTTTTCAATTTTTGCAAATGTTTTCGATTCTATATCAGATAACCAAAAAAATTGTTTTATTTTAATTTTATCTTTGCTTCAGACTACTAGGTCCATATCGGTAACAAAATAAAATAAGCAAATGACAAAATACAGAAGAATAATATAGAAATAGAATTGACTTTTTCTCCTCCTGATGACACGTGTCTCTGCTGACTCTGTCCACTAGTTGGCAGTATGAGACAAATAATATTCACAATCAGCCTTTGAATCCACATTGTGAAGAAGAATTGATCTATGAGTTGTCATTTCTTTCTTTAAACCAACTCCTTCCTGAAAATTTGTGCTGACATTTCCCAGACTCTGAGTCAGTCCATGCGCCAGGCGGACCTTAACTTTGAGAAGCTGAAGACGGAGTCGGAGCGACTTGAGCAGCACACCAAGAAGTCTGTGAACTGGCTGCTGTGGATGATGCTCATCCTGGTCTCCTTCACCTTCATCAGCATGATCCTCTTCATCAGAATCTTCCCCCGACTCAGATGATGACCGCAGACAGTCCTGAACTCTTTTTAGTCCTGCGCTCTCCCGTGTTTTTACAGCATGGGTCTCAGTAGATCTCCACCTCCTGTAGTGTCTGTGCGTGTGATGCAGATCAGTAGTGTTCAGAGCCAGAAGCAGCTCAGGCTGAAGGACTGAAAAGTTTGCACTTTTTGAAACTGAAATTCTTCCTCTAAACAGGCGGATGAAAGAAAGATGTAGATGCAGGAACTGGTTTAATGCTTCAGTATTCATTTTTAAAAACAGGACGGAACATGAATGGAGGTAAAGTGATACTTGCATCACAATCTTAATACCCAGCCGAGACTGAGCCTTAATTCATTTAGTCCCTCACCAGCTCGGCCTCTTGCTCGTCTCAGTCTGCACTTTCTCACGCAGTGGGACTAAAGTCAGTATATGTTTGTCAAACATATTTACCATAGAACATGTGTAGCACATTGTATATTAAAGAGTTTATGAACCGTCCAGCATCAAGTGCATGTCACCCTGGATATCCCCAATTTAACATCTGATTCTGACCTAAAACAGTTTGGTAACACTTTACTTTAACTCCCCTGTTAAGTGTTTGTAAATTGATAATATACATGTTTAATAAATGGTTAATTCCACACTAAACAGACGTGAGCAGATACAGACATTTGAAGCGTGCTTTAAGATATATTTTGCACTATTACAACTCGATGATATTGTGTGTCAATACATCATCTTCCACTTATGTGTGGAAGACTTGCAGTTGAATAAAAATACATTTTTAAAATGTTGTATCTGTTTGCAGCTACGTTATAGTGTTTATAAACCTCTTGTGAAATGTTAATATAATGCATATGAACGTTAAACTGAAGTGTTACCAGTTGTTTTCCTTGAACAGAATACCATTACAAACTACGCCTCCATTTCTTCATCTGCAATTGGGATTTTGAAAAATGAATTGTCAACCGTTTTAGATGTTGAGATATTAGATTTATTTCATCACTCCACATATTTCCATCATCCTCAGTCCTGTTCGTTGTCTAAGAGTCTGTATGTTTCGCTGGCTGATTCTGTAAATGTTCATCATGTTCGTCCGGTGATGTTGTAGTTTGGTGATGAGAAACAAGTACGTTTTTCCATCCCTGCGTTCAGGAGGAGCTGGAGACTGTCGAGTGAGAGGAAGGATTTGTTCTCATTAAATGACTGTAACCTCTCAGTCCGTCGCTCAGTTTACAGCTGTGTGTGTGTGTGTGTGTATACAGACTCTACAGTAAATGGAAATCTTTGACTGAATAATAATTGTGAGATCTGGATGTGGGAGCTGTTTCTTGACCTTTCCACCTCAACTCAAACACCAAACAGCGCCCCCCCTGCCTTTTGTAGAAATAAGCTGATGCAGTGACTTCCTGTGGCCACTCTGTGTCACTCCTGCTCTGGCAGTATACGCACTCAATGACCTCCATGACCCTGATGGCCTGATCAAGCCATGAATCTAAGTTAACAGCCCTCTACCCATTTAGAAGTGATGTGAGTGGGCTAAATAAAGGCAGTCCTCCACCTAAATTAAATCACACAGCGATCACATGTGACTCTTCATCTGATATATTCGATTCCTCGTTATCTTAGCCTGATATCCGCAGGGCGACAGTGATGTAAGACTATTTTTCACAGTGAAGAAGCTTCTTCTCGCAGGTTAACATTCCTCCCGTGTTGTTAATTCTGAGGCCTGTGGAGCTGACTGGCTTGCCCAGACTTGCAGCTCTGCCCCCGGCCCTTCCTCTCGCCCCTCTCCCCGCCCCGCTTCACGGCGTGCAGGCTGACTGGTTGACTGGGCCGATGCCTGGCCCGCCGTGTATTTTGGGATCCCTGGAGGGTATTTCGCCTGCTGGAAGCCGAGGTATGCCGGCCACCGGGAGACCAAATGAGGTTGTGTCACTGCGGAGGATCATCATCGCTCAGTTTAATCACAGCTGTTTGCGCCTCCATTCTCAGACCTTCAGTGAAGCTCAGGCTGTGACGCTGCAGCTCTGCTTCTCAACTCAACGTGCGGGACATGACTTCACCAGCGGGGCAGTTTCCCATGTTCATTATAGCTGTAATACCCCATTAACTGGAAGAGACTGTTACCCATTGGTGTGGTAGTTTCCCACATATACTCCAGAGTCTGTGGTGTGTTCAGTATGAGTTCATATATTCAGCAGAAACGTCTCCGTTGGGTTCACTGCTAACATCTGTCTCAGTAAACCTGAACACATTCTTTCCTGAAGACGTTTTCCCACGGCACCATCGGAAAACAGTTTGGCAACAAAGTTGTAAATTTAACTTTACAACTTTGTACCAACTATAATTTGGTACAGCTTTTAAAATAAGGCACCTTTAATGGAGGAATCAGGTCGTAACACGTGAACGAAACTTTCAGCTCCTTTACATTTAGTGAGTAGTCATTTTGACAGTCGTTTAAAAGGGGATTAGCTCATAAAATGTGATGCACATATACAGTAAGTATCCAGGATTGTTCAAATTAGCTCCACCACCAGCTCCAGCTTTCAAAAGCTGCTTCTTACATAGTGACAGGCCCCCTTCATTCATCTAATGACTACTACTCATTCTCCAAGTGCATTTACTGCTAATGCAGGACGATAGAGTATTTTTATTTTGTGTGTTGCTACTTTTACTGCATCTCAATATTTCTTCTCACACTGGTCGTAATGAATGACTATAATAAATCTCTGCTTTATAGATATGTATAAATCAGGTTTGATTTATTGATTAGAATTACATTTAGGTTGTCAGCTTGTAAAATCCTCTTGGTGGATTGGAGAACTGATCTGAACCTAAATTAATGATTTACTGTTATTAAGAACTGCAGAGTTGATGGTTTATTAGACAGTGAATATGACGGAGTGAGTCCAACATATTCAGAGCGTTATGTTTTTGTTATGTAGAGAGAATTGAAGAGAGAGCTGGTGAATGACAGACACCAAAGTTCTCCTGGTTAAACACAAACTGCAAACATTGTGATTCATGGATGTCAACACGATAACTTTTCTAACCAAGTCAAGTCAAATTCATTATCCCATCCGAGGGAAATTCAATAAAGGCATTTAAAATAAGTAGAAACCCTCATAAATACTGTCATCACTTGACAGATGACAGGGACAAAAATAACATTCAACACATGGACAAAGAAGAAGATACACACCAGCTAGTGATGTTTGACAACCTGACAACCAAGATTTGTTGTTTTCAAGAACTTAAAACTCTGTAGAAAAACATAACCTATTCATCCTTAACAAGCCACAAGTTACAACTTTTGTTTACCACAAATGACCTATAAGTATTAGATGTTTAGATGTTTCTGTCCCTGAAATACCCAGTGAACATAAAGACAGAAGACAACTCTAGCAGTTACAAAATCATATCTGCACTGCAGCATACACACATGTAGACCTCACACACACACACATACTAATATACATCTTTTTTAATTCTTTGCAAAATAAATCTTCATGGGACCTTCAGCATTTGCCTCATGTTATGCGGCTGCTTTTGACAAGACGTTATTCAACCATGGATATAAGCAGCATCTTTGAAATAACAATGTGAGATACAATTTCTATTATGACCAAGATCAATTAATCAAAGAATCGTGTGTGTGTGTGTGTGTGTGTTTGCTCCCTCCAAACAGAGGAGGACAGAGGAACAAATTGTTGAGAATGAGAGAACTTCCATCTCGTCTCAGAGCAGCGCTGCGCCTGTTAAACACTCGGGTCTTTTTAATTTGGTCTTTGGCTGCAGCTACAGTGAGGATTTAAGTTGCCTAAAGAGATCAAGGAGATTTCTCTTTCATGCTCTTTTTGTTCCATCTACTTGCTTTGGGGAGCAAAAGGCTAAAGAGGTTTTTTTCTTTCTTTTTCTCTTTTCTTTCTTTCAGCCTTTTGAATGTGCTGTGATGTTAATGACCTAATGAAGCTTATAAAGTCAGACGCTATCTTACACATGCATACTCCTATTCATGCAGCAGAGGAGGGATCTGCTTCTTGTTTTATGTTTTCGTCACAGTGCTCTACAACACATTTTACCCCTAAAGAAGGGGGCTGGTCCAGGGGTGGGGCCAGGGGGAAACTGGCCTTAGCTGAAATCTGATTGGCCCCTGAAGTGCTGTCGTCCTGTCAATAGTCTTTAGAAACAAGAAAACATCTAGTAACCTACTAACCACAAATGTGAGAAAAGTTAACAATTTTTATTTCTGAGCTTTTTGGAAGTTCACAATGTGCCTGAACAAAAAAAAATACATTTAACAATGTGTGTGATGGAACTATATCTGTGCTCGTATGTTGGGGGTTGTATAATTGGCCCCTCTGTGTAAATTGTTAAAACATTCCTATCTGCCACTGACCTTATTCTAAAAATTAAAAAACGAATTGAAAGTTTTCACTGATTATAACTTACTTTCAAGGTTTATGGAAAATGGAAAAAAAAAGTTTCAAATAGTTTTTACGTTGGACATGGAAACCCTGTCTACATCTGGATCGAAGACAACAATGATGGAAAGTCCAGGGTTTATCCCCCCACCCCGACCGGAACTTATTATTAAAGGTAATTAATATATGAAGCCATATGAAATCAGCAAACCAAACTAATTCAGTGTAAACAGTAAACCTTTATAAAGAAGATGTCGTGATCAACGTCACTGTGGCTATCAGACTCCTCATCTCCCGTCTGCACAGGTGTGGAGGACGTTTCTCTGTTTTCAGTTTGCCGTTACTGTTTCCCTCGACAAAACCTGCCTCTGTGTGTGTGTGTGTGTGTGTGTGTGTGTGTGTGAGTGTGAGTGTGTGTGTGTGTGTGAGAGCCAGCATTTCTGTATCTGTCTGTCTGTGTGGTTGTGTTGTGTCTGTGGCTCTTCCTCAGTCTTAACATCCTAATGGGGGTTGCTCTCTTTTTCACACACACACACACACACACACACACACCCCTGTTGTGGCAGCTCTCTGACTGGTTGGTTGAAGCACGCATGAGGAGCTCTCTCTCTGTTTCTTTGAGTCATATCATCTTCAAAAAGTACATCACAAATAAACCAAGCAGACACAACAGTGTGTGTGTGTGTTTGTGTGTGTGTGTGTGTGTGTATGTGTCTGTGTGTGTGTGTGTGTGTGTGTGTGTGTGTGTGTGTGTGTTTCTCCCATGCATGCATATGTATGGTTGTTGCAGCGCACATGTCAGGAGCCACATGTGATTCCCTGCAGCCCTCTATCACTCTACTGTTCCCAGCCAAGTGTCAACATGTGGGTTAATGCACTGAGCCCTCCAAGCTATTAGTCAGGCCGTGCGGCCCTGAAACTGTCCCCAGTGGAAGAGTAAAGCTCCCAGCTGGTTTCTGCTCATGCTCTGATGTATGGAGCTCAGGTAGTGCTGCTGTTGAGAGGCTTCATTTCTTCCTTCACCTTTTAGTGGCTGGGATGTCCCAGTGGGCGGGACTGAAGAGCGTGGCTGGTGCTACATGAGGCTCTGTGGATTGATGGTGGGACAAGTTTATCTGCCTCCACCACATGAGAGCTAAACCTAAATATGCTTATCAATGTTGTTGAGTTAAATGAGAATATTGACACCACTCTCATGTCTGTCCGCTAAATGTCTAACAACGTGCAGCAGCCCAGTTCCAGTTCCCTTCATAATGAGCTAAGCTAACCATAGCTTATTATGAAGGGAACTGGGAACCACTGGCTCAACAAAATCCACCTACCATGTCAAATAACAATTTTTCCAGTGGTCCCCAACAATTCCTTGACCAGGAGCAGTTAAGGGCAACCAGCACAGAGGAAAAAATCTGAACTATGGACGACATGACAACTCCCAAAAGTGAAGCACTTCAAAACTGCAGTATTGTACATTACAGTACATAAGTATTATGTATTAGAAAAGTACTTATGTTACTTTTCACCTCTATCGTGAATGAACATATATATGTGAGTTGTATGTATCTTATCATCTGACTCTATGGAAGAGAGTAAATATATGTATATAAACTATTCCTTTAAATAGAATAGAATGGAATAGACTGCCTTTATTGCAATTGTGCAGCTACACAGTGACTTTTTTAATGTGGACTGAGGTTAGATGTTGCAGGTGGTTTGGATACGACTCTTTTTCTTTGAACATTGGGCTGTAAATCGCGGCTCAGACGGAGAGGAGGCCTTGAGGGTGAGGAGGCGA